TCATGATGTTGGAATAGTCCTTGATTTGAATAAGGTGACAACTCATTTTTTATTTATTTTTTCTTACAATATCCATTTGGAGTTGCAAAAATACCTAACCAAACATGTATATTAAAAATTTGGATTTAGTTAAAACATGAGATACAAACTAGTTGTATCAAACAAATCTTAAATCTCAAGAAGAATTATATTATCTATTATCATAGCTAAACCCCGATCCTCTCTGACAGTTGCTCCCAGGAACGGAGCCAAGGCCGAAGGACCTTAGCACCACTTGAAATAATAAAACATGTTACCTTTGTCTCTTCCTCTCCCTATAGTGTCTAGATTAGTCAAATCTGTGTTCTTGTGTTGTTTTACTTCAATGAGGATTAGTGTATTGATGACTATGGTTTGAGCTGCCCGTGTTTTTTTACTTCATGAAAGCCAAATATGTTATTTATTGCATAGCATTTATGTCATATATTTTATCTGCTGAGCTTTGCTAAATGTAGGGATTGGCGTGGGAGTACTCTTTGTAACCACAAATGTGGTAACAGTGTTACATTAAACGTTAGGTCCCTCTAGGCGCCTAGATGCCTAGGCGGGGGCCTAAGCGGTTTCTGGGCGTTCTTTTTCTTTTTTATTTTTTTAATTGTAAACTTCAAGCATATATATTGAGTTGCAAATATGCATAAATACTAAATACCAACACATATGCTATCCATCAAAAATAGGGATAAGGATCTAATGAAATTTCTAGCTTGAAAATGAAGTTGAAGGGATAAGGGCCTAGTCGTTGAAATTTCTAGCAGGGATAAGGGTCTGGACGTTGAAGGGTTGATGTCAGGGACAAAGACACAATTAAAACATTGAGTTGCAAATACAACCTTTGTACTATTGAGTTAATCACTTACTAACCTTTTTGCTAGCACTTACAAGTTACGTTCTTGATGTTCAAACAAATTAAATAAAGCCCAATTAATAGTTACCATAAGAAATTGACACAAAAATGATACACCAATCTGAGCAAGGTTGCTGATAGCAGATCACGGGGCGTCACGGCGAGGTGCCGCTAAGGCTATTTCATGCTATTGCGGCAAAATAGCGGCAAATAGCGCACGATCAAATAGCGGTCAAATATAAATATATTTAAATATTCTAAATAATAAGAAAATCATATAAAAATCTAAAATTTTTATAAATGCATACTTGATGCCTAAACATGAAATAGATGTGTAATAATTACATAATATTAACAAAGTACGATCAGAACATGTTCACATTGGAGGACTAAACTCAAGCCATCTCGACATTGCATAGAAAGAAATTTTCTCAAAAGGAGGTTTAAAAAAGTTCAGTCAATTTCTTTTCCCTTCCAGATTTGTTAAAATTATTCATGTGAACTAGTACGTTATCCATTCAATAAGAGATCAGCTTTAAGAATCGAGAGGAATCAGAATTCAACACTACTTAATCTAAAATACATCCAAAAACATGCAATAAACCAACCAAAGATATATAAACATCCATATAAACAGGCCAAAATGGCATTAAAGCTTGACGTTCTCGCAAAACCAGACTTAGTGGCTAGTACAATTAAGTATTTGCATCATAATTAGTTAAGAGGAGTTGATTACATGTTTCTCTGTTACGAACGAAGCCTTGGCAACAGAGATGAAGATGTCGACGCTGGAACTGGAAGTTGTCGGAGGAGGCGCTTGGACCGTTGGACGTCGATGGAAGTTGGAGCTTGTCGTCGCTGGAACTGGAGGTTGTCGACGCTGAAAATTGTCGCTGGAGCTTGGAGGTTGTCATTGCTGGAATTGGAGGTTAGTCGTCGCTAGGGAGAGGGAGTCGTTGGAGGCGAAGGAGAGGGCCTCATTGTCGTGGAGGCGGAGGAAGGCGAGGCTGAGGGAGGGTGAGAGTTTCTTTAATGGGGTTTTCTTCAGAGGTTAGAGGTTGGAGACGAAGGGGGAGAGGCGAGGCTGAGGGAGCTTGGGAGTATGTGAGAGGCGGCTAGGGCACACAGGTTCGGGAACTGAGGGGTTTAAGTTTAGGCGGGTCGGGTTCGGGTCGGGTTCGGGGGCAATTCTTGTTTAAAACTTGATGCGGTTAATAGCGGTATTAGCGTTTTTAACCACTAAAACCCGCTAAACCGCACAATTCGAACACAAAGCGGTTTTTACCGCTTAAGCACGCGCTAATGCCTTAAGCGTAGCGCTGATGCCCCGCTTCCGCTATTCGCGTCGTGATAGACCCGCTTTTTGTCGCTTTTTACAACATTGAATCTGAGTCATCTCTTTGTATCATTCCCTTAATTTGTAGGAAAGAAGAATTAGCAGTGCATCAGCTTTGACAAGCTTTGAGCAAACTAAAAAAGAAGAGAAAAGAAGAAAAGAAGAAAAGGAAACCAATACTAGTTACTTTCAAGAGCTTCAACAAGAAGGATTTGAGTGGCTTCGACAACTTTGACGAGAGGATTTGAGGGGGCTTCGACAGCAGTGACGTGAGGGATTTGAGGGGGCTTCGATGGCTTCAATAGGAGCGCTCGGACAGGGCTTCGACAGCTACAGAGCAGAGAGCTCGGAGGGGGCTTCGACTGCTTTAGAGCAGGGAGAAAATCACAATGACGGCTTTGAAAGAACTTAGAAGATTTGGGTTTGGTTGTTTATGAATTGGGTTTGGGTTTGGGCTGAAATTAGGCTTGGTTTTGGATATTTGTAATAGGATTTGGTTTAAACAAAAACATTGTTTGGGTTTTAACTTTTTGGGCTGGACAAAAATGGGCTAATGGGTTTTTTTCTTGGAAAGCTGGGCGGACCGCTTAATCGGTCCGCCTAGTTCTAGACGCCCACTTAGGTGCTCCTAGCGCCTAAGATTGGCTGCTCCAGGGTGGGTTTTTAACACAGCCTGGGCATCGCCTCCGCCTAAGCACCAGCCTAGGCGGTCCCCAAACCGTTTTTTAGAACATTGGGTGGTAAATAACTCACTTCATGTCATGAAGATAAAAAACTGGATCCTTGGTTAAAGCATTGTTTTAGGACTTGGGTTCTTAGATCAAAATGATTTGGCACACTCAAGGTTTTAAATATCGGTTATCAGGAATTTATCGGACGGCCAAAATTCTTATCAGATAGCGAAAATCGGGGATATATCGGGGATAAGTAGTATTTATCGAAGTGATATACTAGATGGTGTATATATATAATATAATAACTAAAAAATGTAATCTAACCATGCTTAATGAAATATAAACATACCAAAATGTAAATCATCATGTTTAGAATCACTAACCAATTGTAGAAAGCAAAACTTGCATCTTGACCGCACGATGAAACCATTTGATTGCATAGCCTTACTTATCGGCCGATAATCCCGATAAAAAAACCTTACTTATCGGCCGATAAGTACCGATAACGCCGATAACTCCCCGATAACTTGCCAAAAACGATAACCGATTAAAAATCCAAGTTATCCTATCGGAGAGCTCCCAAATCCGATAACTCGGCCGATAATATCGATTATCGGCCGATATTTAAAACAGTGGGCACACTATAGACTGCAAATTACTAGGAGTGTAATTTTAACATTTTTTGTATTTTGCATGAGATAGCGATATTGAATATGGGATATGATTTTGTTATGGTATACCAAAGTGTAGAGCTCAAATGCCTACAAATCTTCATCACTATCACATTGAATATTTCAATACATTTTGATAATAGTAATTTGGAGTTGCTTTCTTGTATGACATGTCTTCAACAAAACAATTTGTTTTCGTACGGTAAGGGAAAATTGATTTGATTGGCCAAGTTTTATCCTAAAGATTTTTTGAAATAGATCGTATGAAGCAGCAAATGAATATTTCACATCCTTTGGTGCAAAAACCGGTGAAGTTAGCATTAATCTAGCCCTTTGCGAGGAAGGTTTTGAAAAAGCATTTTCACAGCGAAAATTATTAACAATGACATTTGAAACGGGATGGAAGATGAGTATACGAATGATTGTTGGTGCCTTATATTGAAAAGATATATCTTACAACGTTGATGAGGAACATGTCATGAAACAAGTTTAAGAAACAAAGGAAAAAGAATGTTAAAGTAAATAGTAAATTTTCAAAAAGACTTGTTATATAATGATGTCTAATTGTTAATCAATCATGCAGAAAAATTTATTTGTTTGTTTACTTATTTTTTGGACCCTTTGCTCAAATTCCTAGCTGTGCAACTGGTTCCTCCTACCATAAATCCTCCTTTTCCGAATCAATGAACACTAGGCTTGACCATCAACAAAGCTCCTCTCACCATTGCTGACACTTCCATAAAACTATAAAAGTTGTCTTAATTTGACATCTTGTTTTTTATTTCTCTTATTTTCTTTATATTCTATGGCCACCATCGAGACTCAAATCCTCTCTTCTTTCTTTTGTAGTAGCTAGGTAGAGGCGCCAAACGTTGCTTCTATCAACAGACACAGCTGAAGGAGAAGAGAGAATGCGAAGAACAAATAAAGAGAAAGAAAGAACATTATTTTCTTTGTTTTCCTTCTTCTTGCTAATGGACTTAACGAATGTTAATGCCTTCCAAAACATTGCTTGACGCATGATAGCTCTTTATTTTTTGGCTCCATATCTTTTCAACAAACAATTGGCAAGTACATTTTGCATTTTAAATATTTAACAAAAATATATAAAAGACAAGGAAAAAGATCTGATATTTGTTACAGAAACATCAAATATCTAAATAAGTTTGCTTCACACACAAATACGTAAGCCGCTCAGATCACTAGAAACAAAGTAATAATCATAAATGGCATAACAAAGATGTGCTATGACCCATTTTAAAGTAATGAACTTTCTGTTTTAAAATCACAACGTCCTACAAGTGAAGTTGTCAAAATAACCCCCAAGGCAATGCATGCAAAATTACGGCTAATTTATAGAAAATGATCAAATACACAACATTGAACTGAGGAAAAGAGAGAGAGAGAGAGAGAGAGAGAGAGAGAGAGAGTGATACCCATCCCAAGAGCAGAAAGCTCGACCTCGTTGTGCTGCTGCATATACCTCTACAAACAAATGCACAATAAAGCAACATGAGATCGAAGCCCCAGAAAATTTAGAGAGAGAAGAAAGGAGGAGATCGAAATTTGTCGCAAACCTTGGCGAGATTGACGTAGAAGAAGAGGGGTTTCTTGGTGTTGGAGACCTGGATCCTGTTCTTCTTGTGAGAATCCCCGACGCTGAGGCTCCCTACTGCGTCCGTGGTCTCCTCCATCTTCATCGCTGGGATCCTGTTCTTCTTGTGAGAATCCCCGATGCTGAGGCTCCCTACTGCGTCCGTGATCTCCTCCATCTTCATCGCTGAGAAAGAGAGAGAGCCCTAGAACTCTAAAACCCTAACCCTAGAATTTGGAGCAGAAATAAAACAGAGGTTCGAAGAGAGGGGGAGGGGTGGGGGGAAATGAGTTGGATTTTGTAGCGTGGGATCGATCAATTTTCGACCGTTGATCTGAGACGCTGGTGCATTTTCAGCTGTTCGTTACGTTCGGGAACTTGGGCTGGGCTTTGTCTTTCGGAGGCCTTATTAAGAATAAACCGAATTTTCACAGAAATTTTTTCACACTTTGATACCATGACTTTGCATCTAACTTCACTTTAATACCCTAACGTATTTATTTAACATTTTGGTACAACAAAGTTATAACTCTATTTCACTTTGATCCCCTATACAGATTCGGTTAGATCCTCTCTTAAATTATCTTCGTTAAATTTGTAAGACGCCTTCAGCGTATGACATACTTAGATCCATCGTGCCTTGTTCCTAAACAATAATACAAAATTAACAAAAAAAAAACCCCTAACAAAATTTTGACCAGGATATCACAATAAAATGAGATCAAAACCTTGGGGTATTAAAGAGTTAAGAAACTAGTTTCAGGTATCAAACTAAATGGGGTTGAAACTTTCGAGTATCAAAAGTGCTAAAATAACACTTGAGGGTATCAAAGTGAAAATAAGCCCACAAAAATATTGTAAAATCATGACCCGAGGTAAATACATTGTTAGGAGACCATAATCAGCTTCAAAATTTAAAAATTGCAGATTCCTACTCTATCAAATACAAATAAAAATGCCAAACAAAATAATCAAACGTATTACCAGCTTTCCTACAACCACACAGTTTGACCTCTGATTCCTTCTATTCTACAACACGAACAAATTCAATTTACAAAATCAAAACAACATCAGTAGCTTCCACCAGCACTACAGAAGCTCACTAAATCCATCACTGTAGAATACAGAACTTGAAGAGTCAAGTATCCTAAGAACGTTCTGTAATCCGATCCACCATTTTCTGCCGATAACTGCCCCTCCTCTGAGGAACCGTGGTCGACAATGAGCCACCATGAGATGCACCCGCGGACATCGTGTGGGTCAATGTGAGCGACTAGGCTGAGGGTCTCGCCTTGGTCCAGATTGAATTTTAGGCTTAGGAAGTCTTGACTTGCTTTCATACCGACTACTGAAGCCTCTTCGTGAAGCCAAAGGATAACTTGACTAGCAACCTGGTTAGAAAGGGGAGTTAGCATAATGGAAGTGATGTGAAATGACTTGAGGATTTCTTTGAGTAATTATCTTTAGAAAGGGTTTACACCGAATTGACATAGCAGGCAGGGGATAGTGTGTAGTTTCTCCGTGTATCTTCTCACTTTCTGGAGCATAAAAAGCCAAAACCCTCAACCCTCACTGTATCTTCGTGGTTTTTGGTGTAGTAGAAGGGATTTTAAGATGGTATCTGAGCACCCCGTGTTCAAATCCCACCATATCGAAGTTTAAAGTGGATTTTGAAAAAAATGCATTGATGCTTAACATAACCAAAGTCCTGCTTCATGAAAAGGACGCTCTATCTACAGAGGAATGTTTAATAGTATAAAATTATAATTCTCAACCTTCATCATAATTTCGGCGCTTTTGTGTAATGGTTAGCATATGAATGCTTCCACAATAGGCCTGCCTAAAATGATGTTGGAAATTATTGATCCATGTCTCTGGTCATTTATTTCCTCCCAAAGTTGAATAGTATAGCTCATAAGTTTCATATCTTGAAATGTAAAACAATTTAGAACCCCTTTCTTATTATAGCCTAGTTCAAGGCACTTATCCATTCATCAAACATTTTTCTCAATCTTCAGGCGACGTATTTTGTTAATCAGCCGCACATGACCCTATACCAGAAACAGATCGATCTTCAGCTGAATTCACATCCTGTTTTCAAGCTTTTCTTGTTTCCGCTTGAGTGGCCCTATTTTTGACATTACTGATAGCTTTCAGTTTGAGTTAGGTTCACTCTTTCTGTATTTTATCTCCAATACTGTATCTCATAGACAACTTACCAAAAAAACTGCAGGTCAGGCCCTAATTTTTAACATTACTGATAGCTTTTAGTTGATAGGCCAATTCTTCCCGTATATAATCTCCTCTGTGGTTTCTGTTAAACAATGTACTGAGAAAAATATCCACTTTTCATCCTCTAGTTCCAAGTGAACGTAAGTTACAATATTCTTCTATGTTGATCTTCTTAGTAACTGATTATAAGTGTAAATAGCCAATCACTTCCACAATACTACTCATTGTTCACTATGAATTTTTAGGTGGTAAGGCAACAGCCTGGTCATACTATTTAATTCAAAAAATTTGTATAAGAAGTATGAACAATATGCAACAAATAATACTGACTATAATAATCTAGTTTTCTACTTTGCATCTATAATTGCTCTAAATACTTGCACAGTTGTGCCCTTTGTCAAAACTTGCTTTTCATCCATACTTCTGCTGTGTAACAGTTTAAATTTACAGGTAAAAATTTTGATGCTCAGATTCTATCAGATGTACTAGTCAGGGGAGGAAGTAGACCAAATAAATCTCAACTAGTTTGATTTTCATTCATCTAGTTATTCATTTGAATTCATTTCGGAAGATCATATAAGAGAATCAATAAATTTTGGTATTCATACACTAAATGAATCAAAATGAGATTTATACATTAGATTCGTTTCCTTATCAAATGTTCATTTCAAATTTAATCCCTTAAAACTTGTGATGCTGAATGCATGATGTTATGTTTGACCCCACCTGCATTTTTTTACAGTAGGCAGTATGCTTATTTTAAGAGATCCAAGTTGATTTCTTAACCAAACATTCAAACTAAGTGTAGTGTAGAAGAGTTGTGGTCATTAGGCATGAATTTATCTTCATTCGATAGGCTAACATCTTATGTAAGTAAGAGAATTTACTCCCAGAGTAAAAATACATACTCAAAGAACCATATATGCGTAAGAGAATTTACTCCCAGAGTAAAAATACATACTCAAAGAACCATATATGCAATCATACCTGCTGCAAGATAGTCATTGGCAGATCTTCCAAGTCACAACCATAACTATTTATCGAGCAAACATTGGTAGCATTCCCTCGGAATGAACCAATGATACTAGGGGCACCTTCTGCACTCACACTAATTTGATCATTATTCACCACCACCTTAGTATGAAAATGTGACCTGGTTCCCCTCTTTGCATCGTGATTATCTGACGCTTTAATTCGTCTGCCAGAATGGAGAATTGATTGAGGAACCTTCAAAGAGACTGACCATGAAGAGGTTCGAGAACTCCATGTAGGATGAGAGAGTAAATGAAGATATGGAACCCTGCCAACCTGCAGCGTAAGGGTATAGAATCAACAACCAAAAATTGTGCTATTCTCAGTCTTGACCAATAGAAGTACATGCAGAGATAACTCGGATAAGATAATACCAGAGTTTCCAGCTTGGAAAGTACTTTCTTTGAAAAAATCCTATGAGCTATTGTCAAGCAGAAATGACCCAAAAGACTACCACCTTGGCCTGCAGACTGACCAGAAACTTGTGACAGGCCATGAGAACGCTTTTCTCTTGCTTTTATTAGAACAGTTTCATGAAAAAGATATTGCAAATAAATTTCCAAACTGACTGGATCAGGAAGCCCTGAAGACTTCACATTGGTTGAATCATGTTTCTCATCTATAACCATCAGCTGTGATTGCTCAGAACGTGAATCCCCATTTTCCTCATTTTGGGTCTGACCTATAGATGTGTCCGTTTGAGGCTCATCATCTTTCCCAGAAGGCACAAGATACAAGCATATAGAAGTCTCTTGACCAATTGCCAACCGCAGAAAGTCTTCACGCATCCCAGTCATGTTAACTCCTGGGGAGGGATTCCACGTCTCACGGTTCACCATATCAAAAACCTAAAAATAGACCCAATGAGTGATAAAGAACACAGAAAGCACTGGATAAACAATTGTTAGATAAACTACCTGCTCTTGAAATATAGATTGATGAATCTCACGAAGTGTTGAATGTGTATCTTTCACACATTGATTAACATCTTCGTCAGTCAAAGCATCTTTCTTATCTTCCGGAAGATGATCTTTTGACCCATCTACTTTCCTTCTGGTAAAGCTCCTTGGTTTTCGATTAGCACCAAGAAATCCAAGACATAGAGAATGACATGACTTCAGTGGCCGCTGTACAGCCAGAATGCCTGTAGAGTCTTCATCAATTCGAACTGTTGATAAAGAAGATGGCCTAGACAATAGTGGCCCATCTAATATTGAATTATCTTGTAGATCAATTGTGAAACTCTCATTGCCTGGAACAGTCCCCATTAAACGCTGTCGTTTCACTTTCCAATTATGTTGCAGTCTGTCGATTCATCAAGTAAGGCAATGCATGCAGTTCAATATGAATGAATTTAATCAATAAAAAACATATACCTGATCAGCGAACCATAAAATCTGGCTTCTCTTGAGACCTGCTGGTCTAATGCTTTAGAAGATTGTTTAAAATACCTCCCTAGATGCTACAGGACAGGCATCGCCCAAAAAAGAAATATGAAGTCAGAAAGTCCAACAAATTTATATGATGTAGTAAGGTGACTAAAATTAGGAAAATAAATATGTAAGCAATTAAATACTGTAGAGATCCATCCACGAGAAGCAAACTCAAAATGTGCCTTGATTGTGATCCACTATTTGGTGGATGTGAATCAATACATGTGTATGTACGCACAGGCGTGCATACATATACACCAGAGCAACCAGCTAACATTTTGACCTAACTAGGTCTGCAACCTCCAAATTTTCCCAAAGTAACTTCCTCAAAAGTCAAAAGATTTGTTTTTATATTAAGTCATGAACTTCCAATAAATTATGAGGATAACGCAGTTACCAATGCTTGGCATAACTTCTCATCATTCTTCACATCAAATCTAATGATCAACCTCACCAGAGGGATTACTCAAGCTCAATGGAATGACTACCTGACCACATCCAAGACAATCATACACGCATCATGCATGTATCTCATGCACAATAGGGTACATTAGATATAGAGCACGAAAGATGCATACTAAATCATATTCCATACATTTGCATTATTTGATATGTGCCACTGCACAAGAACTGTAAAGATGAAGGAGTTCACGGATCCATGAGTAATGGCACAAGAACTGTAAAGATGAAGGAGTTCACGGATCCATGAGTAATACTAGCACTGGGCTTTCCATGACAAACATCAAATGACCAAAAACCAAAATGCATTAGCATGTAGACTTGCATACAAACTGTAATTTAATTCATTTACACAACTAACGAGGAGAAGTTTTGGTAAATAATTTTCCTATTGCCTTCCAAAATGAAGAGAAAAATGGTAAAGACGAACTTTTTGCTCTATCTAATGTTGTATGACTGCTGATTCTTTAAATGCATCGACCCATACATCATACATGACCTCTCATCCAACTAAAATCCATTCAACTATGAAATTTGATTTCCTCCTCTTTCAATAGTCTATCAACTTGAGATGGAAAAGCAGCATATAGTAATGAATTCCTAAACAACTCTTTCCAGATCAATGAAACGAAATAACAAAACTTGACATGTTATCCATTCTCAAACTTTTAAAAGAAAACCACTTTCCAATACCTTTACGCCCACCTACATGCTCTCCATACTTGAAATCCCCTACATATTTATCATCCTGAACAACATCCTTAGGTGATGCTTGACATTCTCTCCACTTCCTCGATACACCATCTTCCTGCATCACGGGGAAGGATAAACCCCAATCTTGAAAAGTGTTAGCTACCAGCTACCAAGTCCATGCCATTCACAACATCACTGTCATTATCATTTCCATAGAATTTTTCTATGTTTTTTTTAGGAACATACCCATCATACATTCTTCCTCTTGGTGGACTCCAGAAAAAACAAAGACATTCCAAAAACAAAGACAATACCCATGAATTTCAAACATGTCAGCTTCTTCTTCTTCTATCTTCCTATCAATGTCGCCTATTGTCTGTGTATGTGTTCGATTCTGTAAGGTTTTTTCATGATAAGTTGACAGCAAAGGACAAATTTAAGCTAGTCAATTGTTTAGAAACATGGATAAATAGCATGACCCCATGCTCAGTGATTAAATAAGCTGTTTTAAGGGGAATGTAAGAAAATTTATAAATTAGAAAACGAAGATCAAATCTTTATGCTGAGAAATTACCCGCAGCCACTGCAGCTTAGTAGCCGCAGACACCGAGAGATCCGATAAAACTTCATTAGGCAACTGCTTCGGCCTCTGCATCCAAGCAACTGTGACAGCATCATTTGCTTCAACCTACAAATTTTATCTTGAACAAAAGCACAAAATGAGCATAAAATCCATCATAATTAACACTTCAAAATATTTTTAAAAAATTAAGAAAACTCACGGTGTTGATGAGATCAATAACAACATTCAACTCCTGATGAGCCTGCCTCAGATTCTCCACCAAACTCTGCCACGGCCA